GAAATTATTCTTTCTTATCTTGTTTTATTTTTATTTCGTGAAAATCTCGCTCTTTCCCTTTTTTTTATTAATAAAATGCCTCAGAAATATTTGGTCGATATTTAGAGCATTACTTATTTATTCTTATTTGTAAATAATTTTTAGTGACATTCATACTTTGAGGAAATTCATTACCTTGTATATTAAATTCTTTTAAAGCAATGGTATAATTGTATGAGGAAAAGAATCGTGTTTTGTGTAAAAAATACTTTTTAATATGATTTGAATTTTTTTATTTATATCACAATATTGTCACATAAAAGATTACATTATCAATAAATTTTAATTTTAACATTTTCGGGTAAACATAAACAAACCGGTAGGCTGGTCATCGCGGTAACAAACAACACTCGATTTATTTTATATATGTAGTTTCGAGACCATAACATCTTTAACAACTTCACTAACGTATGTTTGCTTGTATTTTTCCATATGAAAGTAAAATGTAAGTAAGTATGACTTCCAGTTTTATCAGTTCATTAAGTTATTGCGAAGTGGTTTAAATAAAACTGAAATTGTTTTATCCCATTGTATAGTAGGTGTCTATCATTGGTCAGAGCTTAGCGTGTCAGCTTCTACCACCACGATTCATAATTATAGCAATTTTTATTTCCATTACGAAAAATATATAGCTCTGATACAATTTATTGTTTGAAAAGTAATTAAAATATTTACGGCATGTTTCCTAATGAATCATTTGAAGGTCCAGCCAGTGGTGATTGTTAAATCAAATTTTTCCTATTATACAGGGTGACTGGTGAATTACTATCAATATTTAAGGAGAATACTCGGTACATGATTCTCATTCGAATTATGTAAAAAAAATAGATACTTAATTTTTGACAAAATTTCCGTATAAATAAATAAAGTGTTGACACGTTCCAAGTGTTCCAAGTGTGGACGCGTGCGGCAGCGTGCTGATACAACACCACGCCGCCGCACGCGTATGTGTGAGTGTGTGTGTATACCTAATCTGTAGGGTGTTCACACGATGCGTAATTAATTACATAACTTTTGGTTAACTTTACTTAGAAGTTTATTAATATTTATGTTATATTAATTTTTATTTTGTCATATATGATCGTCAAATATCACGTCCTCAAGTATCGATAGTAATTCACCAGTCACCCTGTATATAGGGAGTTAGGAAGGGACGGCTATAAGAGAACGATTGTCGAACGCATGTATTATATTAGTGTACTTGTTGTGATAGAAAAGTCACTGGTACAATTATTATGATTAGAGAGTAGAAGAGAGGCGCCTTTGTGTTAAGAACTTTAGGACTTGTTAATGACATTGATTAAAATGACATACTGATAAGCTGGATAAAAAACATTAATAGCGCTTTTTATTGATTGACTTTAAGAATATGTTTATTATGATACCTGTATTCAATCACATCCATTCAAAAATCATGTGTAAAATCAGATGAAACAGAATTAATAATCATGAAACTGATTTTGTTGTTTTATACATATGTATATTTAGACGAAACCTCTTAGCATTCGATAGATTCACCGTGCGGGTGCCGGGTCCATCGCGACCATAATACAAAATAAGGGTAATAAAAATAAATATCGTTTGTATGTTACGTTACACAATAACAAACATCTTTAGCTTCGTTTTTCGATGTCCAATTTCCTTAAAAAATAATTATCATCAATTTGTTTCATTTATCTTTAATTTAAATATGAGTTTTATTAGGAGGAAGGCAATGGTTCTGTTAATTTAGACTCTGAACAGGGAAATAAAATCTGAGTATGTTCAGTTCTGAAAACATTGAAAATAAATAGTGTTAATTATACATGTATGAAATATGCTTAGACCGGTTTTTTCAGTATTGTTATTAGTATTTCAGTTGTCTTGTCATTTCAAATTCGTAAGTGGTTGATGAGTCGATGTTAATCGATCATTGTATTAAATAGTTTCTACCGTACCTTATAAACTATTTTCTAATTTTTAAATTGTACGTTCTATCTACTTAACCTGAAAAAATATTTCGTAGTTATACTTTGATTTCGAAGTATTTCCTATGTAAACTATTCAACTAACTGTGATAATCTTCTGATACAATCTGTACTCGTTTTCTTACGCTGATAACGCTCATGTTTGACTGTCGTATTTTCTGTTCGAAACGGTATCTGTAATGAAATGAATGTTATTCTAACTGGGGCTTTTAAAAATAACAAGATAAAGGGATAAGTCCTCTCTATCGCTCCCTAACAGTCGTATGATGATGACCCCCCCTCCTACCGCCCCCCCTTCTCAAATGACCTTCCCGGTCCTCGGTCCATCTAACATAACAATATAAATTATATTTAATATAAAATTTTTACGAACTTTGTATACTATAAGTTCGTCTGTACGATGAGTTCTGTAATGTAGTGTATTGTTTAATTGTCAATATGACACTTAATCATAGATAACTGTTTACAGCTGATACACGAGTACATATCCTATGTTTATTATAAAAACTTTCATAGGTCCACAAGTCTAGTATTATACACACTCACAGAAGAAATATATATATATATATATCGATGTGATACCTATTTTAATATTATGCTAGATGTCATTGGCTGTTGCCTTTACCTTATAGAGCTCATGAGATGAAGTCTTTAGAAGTCTCGTAGCTATGAGGAGGGGGGGGGGAGCTACGCCGTCTTATCAGACATCATATTGAAACGCTACGGCGTCTACGGTCGTAGCGCTACGACGCCAATGTACTGGAGAAACATGAAAATTGCATTAAGGATTTAGAAAAGAAGTTTAATATTAAAATGACGCCTCTAAAGATAATAATAAAACATAATATAAGACTACGGTAGGATTGTTATGTCTGTGTACATAATATATATATGCTATTGTTACATATGCCTTTTAAGAAGTATTTTTGGTTCGTCAGGTTAGGTCGTGATAAATTTATCAGTTTTTAACATATTTTTTTATGTAATATTATTATAGTACTGAAGGAAACTTCGAGGAATTAGGGTAATACTGAATTAATATGAATTTGATGATTTAAAACTTCAATTATAGTAATCAAAAATGTGATATAATAATCATAAGATAATAAGTATTTAAAAGAGATGTTTCAACATTTATTGTTTTGATAATGATTATCGTTGTTCTAACAAACAAATCAAGAAAATTAAGGTGTTAGGAAAACCACTGAATAAATATAGCAACAACATGAATATGGTCGTTATGTGTTGTACCAATGTTATATTATAAAAATAAAGTATGAAATAAAAGCTTACAGTAATGAATTCTCAGACAGCCGGGTCTGGGTTCCTCATACAATGCTACCATAATGGATCCTGACATCGTTTCTACCAAAGAAAGATTGCAGTAATTTAATATGATGGTAACGCTTACATGAAACATCTCTCTCTCTCTCTCACACACACACACACACACACACACATATACATACATACCTTACACACACATATATATCATATTGTCATCATTAATTGTATAACAGCGAGGTGGATTTATGAGGGCGCGCTTAGACACCGGGAAATTGTTTTTTTTCCCATTTAAATTCATAATTATTATCTATATATATATATATATATATATATATATATATATATATATAAAAATGAATTGCTGTTCCTTAGTCTCGCTAAAACTCGAGAACGACTGAACGGATTTACCTTATCTTAGTCTTGAAATGTTCGTGGAGGTTCAGGGAAGGATAGAAAGCTTAAATTTTTTTATTAATTTCCGGGAAAACCCTAAAAACAGCGCTTTTTTATTTCCCATACAAACGGTTTTTTGACATTAGATTTGATAACAAACTAATATGTCAATCATTCTGTCGCACCTGAAGTGATTGCACACGGAGATTTATGGCTTACAGGTAAACAAAAAATAAATAAGACATAATTTATTTCTTGATTGAGGCAGTACGAAGTCTGCCGGGTCAGCTAGTCATAAATATAATTCTTACACAATAATTCGTTTCAAGCATGTCCATATGTTTATTATCTTCATACTGTCTCTAGTTCCTTTAAACATATATAGTATCGTAATATACAAACCTGTAATGTATTGCATCCATCGATTCATTAATACATATAAGTCATTATGACTCGTCTCTTAACTCCTTACATTAACTCGTTCCATCGACTGGAGAGCACTTGTAGTATTCTCTGCGAACTTTGTTTATTTACTATTCAAATAAAATCTAAATTCTCCCCTGTGTCACTCGATTTAGTTTGTTGACGAGCCATCAATATATACACTCTGCCCGGTTCAGGATGGCTCGTTGAAATGTACGAGCGAGTTTCGTGCAAATGTTTTTTAAAAGTATCGGAGTGTGTAGAGACAGGGACGGCGATGACCGGTGAACATCAGATTACTGAGTTTGTATTGAGGACCTTTAACGCACTTTTACACTGCACAGATACATTTATAGATAGAATATTATGAATATTTACATACAGTTTCGGTTGGATAAGGAATGTTTTGACACTATTTTTGATTACGATTTTCATTATAGTGTGATGCTATTTGTCCGTTTGAGTTAATCATTAGTTTCAGTATTGCTCAAATTAATTAAGACAAACTACAAAAGATTAAAATCTAATAGGTGTTTTTTGTCGCTGTTCCTTTGTTAGTGTGTTACATTTAACAGTCCGTGCGCCGAGTGCCCTCGCGCTGTAGTTGTTCCACAATCACTTGCTCACTTTAATGCTTGAACTAGTTTTAAAACATCCATTAGACTCCGTTTAATTGGAGGCTTTTTAAAACGTTCGCAACATTTTTCAGAGCTGACACTTCAGAACTAAATAGAGGGAGCTTCACGAATTAATGGGGAATAACATTTATATATCGTGAATAACAAACGAGCTGCATTCAGCGAAAGAAATGTATAAATTATTATTTTATACAATCTTTTAGAGGAAATAGAATAACAATGGATTTTCTTAATGATCCCATTTTCTTTAGGAATGTACGAACTAGGCGTTTTACAGGATGGCAAATTTACTCTTCAAGTTGAAAACAGAGTTGAGAGCGGAAGGTCTATATTTACATTAGAGAGTGGTCGTAACTTCATCAATATTTCATCGGGAGCCAATAACCTGTGCCGATGTACTCCCCCCCCTCCCTCGCCCTCCCAGGTCCCCCTCTGTCTCCCAACATCTCACCCGACCTCCCCTTCCCACCAGTCGGATGAGGAGTTTTGAATCTTAATTTTCTTAGCTATGTCGTGATGCATTGTTGTCGTAATTATCTTTGAAATTATTAAACTATTGTTGGATATTGATATTACATGGAATTTAATATACTTATTATTATATAATATATATGAATATGAAACAAGGAGACAATGTATCGGAAAGGTTAAGAGCCGGTTTGATAAATTCGGGTGAACAAGGTCGAATGTAAAGTGTTCAGAGCGACGTACGGTCGAGATGCGAGGAGTGTGGAACGAAAAGACGATCAGGCTTTGATGTTGGAAACAACAATAGAACCGGATACAATCTCACGAGGAATATATTATCCTTTTTATAGCAATTTTATCTATAAAGGCAAGTAGTTTAAATCATGTTGCTCTTGTAACACGAGAGGCGGATCGAAATGAATATAAACTCTTGTTATTTTAGTTACGGTACCGCATACAGCTAGGATTCTTATTTATATTCGGTTCGACATGAGACGTACACTATTACATGGTGATAATAATATGTTAACAAAATGCTCGTCCATTATATTGAAATGATACTTGTATAGTATTGTCAGTAGTAGCCTGGCCCGCCTCTCATGCACGAGGGCGCGGGTTCAATCCTGGTCCTGGCAAGTACCAATGTGATTTTTCCGAGTCATATGTACTTTCTAAGAGTATTTAGACATCACTGATTAATGCATTCCGAAAGAGGGTTGATGTCAGGCAGGCGGCCGGTCGTAAAAACAATTAGCGAAAACTATTAACAAATATGTAAGGTAGACCCTGGCTAGAGGTGGGAAATTGCCAGGTAGATGACGAAGATACTTGTATAATGTATAGTATTGTAATGGAAATTAAAATACTATACTCCTAGGTTACATTAGATGTCATAAAGAACTTGTTAAGGTAATCGAAGTATAAAATTTTACATTATTATACATGCTCTCAGCTGTATGTTACACTTTTTACAGCTTCAGTACTGTCTTGTCTGTTCGGACCAAGTCAAATAAGTATATAAATTTGATCTACTATCCACTTGTTCGTGATAAAAATACTCCTATTTTCATTTGTTTTTCCTTCGCTTCTAAGAAAAATACCTTATTATTAAATCTTACATCGCCTCAATATATTTCTTGTATTATATAAAGGTCTCGCTCTTGAAAACGGCCCACGTAATAATATCGTTCTTATTACTTTTTGAATATTTTAATAAGTTTCTTTTTAGGTATTAATATTTTTAGATTTAAATTAATTTATATATGTCTCTTTATCACAATTTATTTTCATTTTTATAAGACAGAACCTAGTCTGTTATATAGTTAGATGTAATCCAGCGGTTTAATCTCAAAGTTTGAAGCTGTAATTCTTTCCTCCCGTCCGTACTCTTGTGGAACAAGCCGCCTTGAGCCAACCTCTGTAAAGTTTGTTATGTATCGCTGTGAGTACTTCTCAGCGAGGTATCTTTAAAGCCGGTCTATAGCTCACTAACTCCCTCCGCCGACTGTCCACTCCTCACCAGCCATTCCGTTAGATGAGATTTTATTACGCCATCCTATTAACTTTCTTTCCACTTCATCAATATTTATGATAATCTTAAGTCGTTATCCTTTGAGGCTCAGTCTGAGTTTTCTTTTATTTCTGATATAATCTTCATGATTATTATTTAGCCACTGTCGCCTCGCAGTTACAGTACTGTCATTGTTGTCTGTTACAGCCTCCGACTTGTTCTAAGAGACAGTTCTCTAGACTCGAATACTTATTTCAACTTAATCATATTATTTTGTTAGAAATGACTTGTTCATTCATAATGTTAATTATTTGATTTAAGATGTTATGTGAACATTTTTATCTCCTTCTTTTGAAGATTGTTCCACGACCTTACTCTCTGCATATAGTTTATACAAAACAATAACAACTATGCTCTTTTATAATACTTTGTTCTTATTCGAAACTGTAAACTTATAATTCAAAAATATTATTTATATATTTATAAACTAATCTAAAGAAAGAAGCATATGAAGTGTTTATTTTCTCATTATAGACTATCGGAGCTCTAAATTAACTAAGCCCATATGTACATACATATATTACAAAACGTAGGAAAATAAATGATATTTGTTAAAATACACTCATATCTATTATTAAGTATTTAATACATTGTTATTATATATGAAATAACTTTTTTTTTTATTCCTGGAAGTACCTCTTATTATGTCTGTTTTGAAAGTTAACTTTTCATTGTAATTATCATAATCATTAAACTCCTCGACTCATTTTTTTTAAGTCGATACAGTACTAATTAATTGCATAACTTCTTATTATTTTATTCATGTTTGTGCAGCGTCTACGTCTCTTTTATAAAACTTCATTTCCCCTATATTTAGAATTGGAGATCACTATCATGTTTTATCCCATCAGAAAAGGAACAGGAGTTATGAACATTACACACTGAAGGAGTAATTGCTTATTTCTTAGCTGGAATATAAATTGAACTCTGAAAAAGTTTTAAGATGAATTTATAGCTTAATTCCTAGTACAAGTGATCAGTCTTAAATTACACGTAATAGTACGATAGTTTCTCATCTCCTCTGTCGAGCCCGGCGGTTATCAATTCATTGAAGGCATACGTCTGCTAAATACAATATAATCGATCGATTCCTCTCAATATAATCGATGTCACACTCTCAGAAAATTCCCAGATAACTAGACAGTAGTCTGGGTAGCTTACTATTCATAGCAAACGACAAACTCCGGTTTTACATTAAAAATAAGTGGATACTAAACTGCAAATAAATTATAGTACTTAATATATGTAAAGTATGTGTTTTAGTCAGTGGTGGTTAAAGGGCCATCCTCTCGTTGCCAAGGGCGCGGGTTCAAACCTGGCAAGTACCAATGTGATTTTTCGGAGTCACATGTACTTTCTGAGAGTATTTAGACACCACTGACATACGGTGAAGGAAAACATCGTGAGGAAACCTGGACTTATAGTTTCACAATTATAAATTTGAAATCACCAACCCGTCTTGAGCAAGCGTGGTGATTAATGCTCAAACCTTCTCCATGTGAGAAGGAGGCTTTGCTCAGCAGTGGGCGCTGATAGGCTGATGATGACGATGTGTTTTAAATCAACTCATTACTATAACGGTCCTAGGAAGTCATAAGTGATGTTTGACGAATGTCATACATATCCTGACTTAATCATAGAGACGAAGAAAGTTTTAGAACTACACGAACGGGCTTCTTGTAGTCATTTACAATATTAACATTATATATAGAACATAAACATAAATAAGCCTGTAAGATTTATTGAATCATTTAAAAAACAAGTGCCGCAGAGAAGTGAAATATTTCTTCAGTGTCGTACCATCAGCCCGTCTTGTTACAAGAGAATTCCGTCAGAATATATAATTAGCAGATTTAACATTGAGTAATTCGCGTTGATTCTAAAATTATCATTTTCATTGTTGTGAATTCCGACGACAAATTGTCTCGTTTTATGTATATTTTTTTGTGTTTTTTTTTCTTTGAAATATGTTAATTAAAGTATCATACTGAATACAAAAAACATTTGAAAATGTATCCATCAAATAACATTACTATTTAATATCAGTAACTGATTGTGTATGTTTGATTTTGTTATTATATTATTTTTTAATGTTTTAAAGTTTGTGTGTAGTTAAATTAACTTGCATGTGAATTTTACATGTCACTGAATAACATTTGTTACTGAAATATATTACTTAATTATTTTTAAATATCTGTAATAATATATTTCGTAATAATTATATCGCCAGACTTGCCTCTGACCTCTATATGATTGCACGATGGCGTTTGACCGTTATTGATTTTTCACTTTTTTTCTATAGAATTCAAAAACTAGAAATATACTACTAATATAATATTAATAAATACTCATACATGATCCATTATCAAAACTTGATTTGATGAAACATACAAACTATACTTAACTTTATATAGTACAAGTACAAGTTTAAATCAATAAAAATTATAACAACAGTATGAATTAATCTCTAGTTAGTTTAACTCGAGGAATGTTACCTATGTCATCCCTCAATCATTGGACCTTCCTTGCAAGATAGATATTTCTTTACGTTCAACATTTGAAAGATGCAGTCAAAATTAATCTGAATTATTATGAAGCTATTAAGTTATGAAATACTATTGAGAGGTATTGTTATTTATTATTAATAATGAATCTAGTTCCTGTAATAAAACAACTGTAATGATGTTTGGATCTACATATGTTGTGTAATTATATTTAATATTAAATTATGTTAGTACCGATCCAAAGTGACCAGATATCATAGAATTGAGAAAGTATTTGCGGTATTTTTGAGATGTTTAATTATTGATTTCAATGAAGTTATAAAGTGTTTATTAAACAGTCTTTAACGCGTCAGATGAACCGCTAACAAACTACACAATAAAGAAGTATTTGATCAAACAAGTACTTACTGTGAAGTTAGATTTTATATAAATATCAGTAGAACTGTCATGATTTAGTGATTTGTATCAGGTTTGCTCATTGTACGGGAGTCATTAGAATCATATTTTTCATGTGCCATGTATCTACAGTCTGTGCAATACACTGGATTTTTCGTCATAACTCATGACGAGAGGTACAAATGACAATCGGAATCTCCATAACTTTAGAAATTATTTTCATATTGACATGTCATATAATTAATATTATAAACACGTGCTGAATTTTAGAAAAGAAATAATTAATTATGGAAATAGTATTTTTTTATTTTTTTTACTAACGTTAATAATACTTATATATGTATCAACTATTAAAACAGTCGACGGTATTATTTTAAATGTCTTACCTCCATAATTTATTTAAATTAACATTGTTATCACTTTACGTATTTTATTACAACAATTGAACACAATTGAAACGCAACAATATGTGAAGACGTCGAACAGCAAAAGAAATGCCAATTCGATTTTTGTCAAGATCCCTGATAGTGATAAATGATGGTGAAGCGTCTG